GTTTAGAGAGGGTGTGTGCCAAGTCTGTGGCGTACCGTGTGGGCTTAAACGTTGTACTGTTTGTGGACTGTGACAAACCTGAGCAGTGTAGCCGGCATCCAGAGAGAGTCGTTCAAGGAGGTGTGCCAAGTCTGTCTGGGTTACCGTGTGGGCTTAAACGCTCGCCGTTGTTCTTAGTGTCTGTGGATGTATCCAACCAAGTCCACGTGCAGCCTCTCCTCTTATGTTTTAGCATGGCATTGTAGAAGTACGGAGTGCAGTAAGTGGTGCTCAGGGAGGGCACCAGACAATACTGTTTCACCTTCGAGTACGCACCACGTGATCCTTGTGTAGACGTGCCCCTGACAGTCTGAGTGAAAGGATACAGTACTAACAAACCTTTTCATACGACACCCTCATCAAACATGAACAGGGCACAGCAAAGACAGACAGCCACGTATGTTTTTTTCTTCGGATACAATTGTGTGATACATCACGTTGAATTGACACTCTTGAGATAGTGACTGGTTCAAACGGAGGTGTCGAATCTACTCGCTTGAGGTAGTTACCGGTTCGAATGGAGGTATCGAGTCTACTCGTTTGAGATAGTTACCGGTGCAAATGGAGGTATCGAATCTACTCGTTTGAGATAGTTACCCGGGCGAATGGAGGTATCGAATCTACTCGTTTGAGATAGTTACCGGTTCGAATAGAGGTATCGAATCTACTCGCTTGAGATAGTTACCGGTTCGAATAGAGGTATCGAATCTACTCGTTTGAGATAGTTACCGGTTCGAGTGGAGGTATCGAATCTACTCGTTTGAGATAGTTACCGGTTCGAATGGAGGTGTCGAATCTACTCGCTTGAGATAGTTACCGGTTCGAATGGAGGTGTCGAATCTACTCGCTTGAGGTAGTTACCGGTGCAAATGGAGGTATCGAATCTACTCGCTTGAGGTAGTTACCGCTTCAAATGGAGGTATCGAATCTACTCGCTTGAGGTAGTTTCCGGTTCGAATGGAGGTATCGAATCTACTCGTTTGAGATAGTTACCGGTTCGAAAGGAGGTATCGAATCTACTCGTTTGAGATAGTTACCGGTGCAAATGGAGGTATCGAATCTACTCGCTTGAGGTAGTTACCGGTTCGAATGGAGGTATCGAATCTACTCGCTTGAGATAGTTACCGGTGCAAATGGAGGTGTCGAATCTACTCGCTTGAGATACAGTAGTAGCCGCTTCGAAAGGAGGTGTCGAATTTCTACGGCGAGGGGGGCGGAGGGACACCTGCTACACGCTGGACTTATTTGAGTCTGTTTCTGCGTAAGCACGGCCTCTCGTTTCATGCGTGATGCTTCCGATATTCTGGACTGAATGAAGTATGTTTTTTAAGCCCTTACACTGGGTGCTGGACTTGCTCGAGCCTGCGTAAGCCTCTTTCACTTCTGTGGTTTTGATGCTTCATTGAGGTACCGCTGTACTCCGCTTCGTTCGTTCCATGTCTGTTACGGGGCGAAGGTGTCCCTCGAGGCCGCGTTGAAGACATCTAAGGAGGCGTGTTCCGCCGAAGCGGCGGCCTCGGCAGGGCTGAGGAAGGAGCTGGAGGCGAGACCGACGGCGTCGGAGGTGAAGGCGCTTCGGCGGCAGCTGAGGGTGCTGCAGCAGCTGGAGTTCAACGCGAGCAACGATGAGGACGAAGAGGTAATAGCAATACAATGGCAACATTGCGTCTTGTTTAGATATGTAGACTAGATATCTTGCCGTCGATTCAGTTTTTATTTGTTTTGTTTTTTTTGGCGGAGTTGTTTGGTTTTTGTACAGCAGTGCCACGCTCATGTTGAGTGTTTTTTAATAGGATGGAAAATTGTTTTTTTTGGGGGGGCGGATTTGTTTTGCTTTGTACCATGGTCTTGTGATTTGTTCGAGAAAGGATAGGAGAGTGATTTTGTTGTGTCGTTTTGCCTGGTTTCGTGTGCTGTTTTGGCGATGCACATCCGTGGAGGTGTACCGTCACAGCGCGGAAGAACTCACGGGTGCGCGGTCGACTTCTCACGACCTACATATTTCTGGTTTCTCCAAGACACTCCCCACGCGCCCAATTCCCATTTTTGTTTGAACAATAGGGTGCTGAAGCGGAGGAAGCCATGATTGGTGAGGACGAGCCTCATGGAGCGGACCCCGAGCACACCGCCATCCACGCCGAGCGTACGATGGAACAGGTACTGTACGGCACTGTGCAAGCACAACTCTTCCACCCCGCCGTAATTTTTTTTTTTTTTAAATGTACTTCCATCTTTATGTAGACTTTTTTTAATATCCTTTTCGATTTTTTATGGTAGATGATTTTTTTAATGAAAAATTTCATTTTTTAGAAGTAAAGTGCGTTATCGTGGAAACGACCACGTTGCATCGATGATGGGGGTTGGATGCTATATATGTGTAGCGACCTGAGATCACGGTAGTGCCACAGTAGCTCCAGCGGCGTGTGTTCTTGTCCCTCTTGTGCGCGCTATGTCGACCTGGTACGTTTATTGTACATGAAGGACGGGACTGTCATTTTCTTACGTCAGACGACAATGCATAATAGTTTTTTCCAGTGCGGCGGAGCCCTCAACCGAAGCTCCCAGGAGCCGAGAGACAGGGCTAGAGTGAATTTTTCGTAGACTGTTGGGATAAGCAACCTTTAGGATGTTCGGTTACTTGGCATGATGGGAGGTCTGATGGCAAGGGAACGTGTTTGCTGTTGCGGTTGCTGTCGTTTTTTTTCTTATTTTTTTCGTGTCCTACTGCGGTGCCCTGAACAAAGACCGAGAGGTTAGCACCCACAACCACCAGTTTCTATCCCTGTAGTACGAGCGCTACAGCGGAAAATCGCGAGTACCCGGGCACCAATCAACTACACAAGCAACAAAACGAAATGAACCGAAAGGAACAAAAACGAAAAAAAACAAAAAAAAACGACAACGACAACGAAAAAGTAAACCGACACAATACGAAGCGAAACGATTTGGATCGCAACGAAAAACGAAACGAAACGAAACGCACCAATGCAACACGACACGAAACGACAAAACGAAACGAAAGAACGAAAAAGAAACTCAAAGCGAAACGATACGAAACGAAACGAAACGAAACGCACCAGTGCAACACGACACGAAACGACGAAACGAAACGAAACGCACCAATGCAACACGACACGAAACGATAAGACGGAACGAAACAACGAAAAAAGTGAACCAAAACGAGACGCATCATTTGCTAAACGACGCGGAACGACAATACCAAACCAAACCAAACCAAACCGAACCAACACGACAACAGATCATCCGAGGGAGGGTGCGGCGTCTCGAGGCCGACCTCACCTCCTCCCGCCGCCAACACCAAACAAACCAAACAAACCAAACCGAACCAAAACGAACCATAACGAAAACAGGTGATCCGAGGGAGGGTGCGGCGTCTCGAGGCCGACCTCACCTCCTCCCGCCGCCTCGCCGAGGAGCGAGGCGCCGACGCCGCGCGCCTCCAGCGCGCGCTCGACTCCGCCACCGCCCTTGCCTCCGAGCGACTAGAGACGATCAACCGCCTAGAGGACGACCTGGCGACGGCGGCTGGCGGGGGGGGGGGAGGGGCGGGGACGCCGCGTGGGGGGGAGGGAGCGGATGCCCTCCGGGAGCTGCTGGGGGTCGGGGAGGCGGAGGGGGGGCCCGCGGGCGGGGGCGGCGGCGGGGGGGCTGACGCTGGGAACCATGGGGTGCTGGGGATCGTGCAGGTGTGTTGCGGTGTCGCGTGTGTTTTTTTTCGTGCTGAATGCTGATTTTTTTTCGCTGGAGCCGGATGGCGTGCCGAAAAGTATCCCCTCTCCCTTGTTTTTGCTGATTTTTTTTTTTTTTCTGTTGCGCTTGTGCGCGCGGTGGAATGGTGGTGCCCCTTGGTCCTGCGCGGCACAAAACGCGCCACGACCAATTTTCAAGAAGTTGGAGTAGATTAGGAAGTTGAGGTTTGATGATCACGAAATGTGAAGGACTTGCTTGAACCCTACCCAACACTGGAAATGCTACCACTTATGTATCCCTTGTAGGGTTGATTCCCCGCCCATCAGCCATGGAGCGCGAAGGTTGCTTAACCAAGTGTGACGTTTCAAGGTGGTGACGCGTTCTGTAGCGCAATTGGATGGGAGAGGACCTGCCTTCATCATCGTGTCCGCGGAGCCCCCTTGTTCCTGTTCAGCGGGGCTCATTTCTTTCTTTTTGGCCATCGAGCTTTGTCGAAACGTTTTCCAAACCGACGGCACTATCGTGACCCCTCTACACTAGTTGGATGTTTTTTTTTTTTTGCCCTCTTGCCTCTTCTAGATTTATTTGCTTCTTGTTCCCCTTGGTCTAAATGTAGAAGTTTGTGTACCTGCCGATGCCAGCTCCTCCTTTTTTTTTATACCCCCAACCCCTTGCCCGCCCCATCCCCCCCCCCCCCCAAAAAAAAAAAACACACCAACAGGCCCAGCGCGATCGGTTCCGTCGGCGTATCAAAAAGCTTGAGGCCGAAAGGGAGGACGAGCAGAGGGAGACCAGGGCCGCCCAGGGGGTGATGGAGAACCTCCAGCGGGACAACTTGCAGCTCTACGAAAAGGTTACGATTGTTCTTTTTTAGACTGCTGTCTTTGTTTGTTCCTGTTCTTGCGTTTCCAGACTTTTCATATCTTGCCTGGGTGGGCCCTGAAACGCTATGCCCGATTATCTCTTTTGGCCATGGTTTTGATCCGCACGAAAATCGTTCTCCTCCGGTCTACGACGCCCCCATGGGCGGTTTAGCGAAACTGCCAGTAGCGTGGGAGATTGCCCCCCCCCCCGCCCCCCAAGTCTTGAGCATGGCATTGACAGATTGTTCGTGTATGGTATGTGGTGAATGCTTCCCGCAGAAGTCCAACAACTGGGTCCGTATTACGAGTTTAGATGGCGCCACGGGCCCTTCCTGTGTGTGCCACCATTACCTTGACATATCGAATTGAAAACCCGTCCATTTTTTTTTTTTTTGCTTCAAAGGTTCGATTCCTGCAGAGCTACCAAAGAGGGGCCACGGGGGCGGACAAGAACAACGTCCTCGCCGCCGCAGGAGGCGTTACCCCGGGGATCGGGGACGTCGAGGCCGGCGGCGGCGGCGGCGGCGGAGGCCGCGGGGCAGCAAGGGAAGGGGAGGAGGGGGGCTCGCGGAAAGCAACGGAGGCTAGGTACGGGCAGCTTTACGAGGCGCGGATCAACCCCTTCACCCAGTTCTCGCAGCGGGAGCGGCAGCGCAAGTACCAGGAGCTCACTGTGGCGGAAAAGATCACGCTCAATACCACCCGCATGTTCCTCGGGAACAAGTTTGCCAGGTCCGGACCCACAAGCGTTTTTTTCTGTCGGATCAGATATGTATATTGATGCGACTTTTTCTTGTTATGAACAAGCGGGAACAAGTTTGCCAGGTCCGGACCCACAAGCTTTTTTTAATTCAGGTGTGTTGGTGGAACTTTAACTTTTCTTGGTTGTGAACAAGATTAGTATTTTTCTTGTTTCGTGATGATGCAATTCAGACGTTTAAAGTTTTCGTCAGGTGTACCCCCCGCGTGTGCTATGTCCTGTGGTTGCAGCGAGGTGTATTGTCGAAACCCATGGCATCACACATGCCAACCTGCGGCTGCACGGCGGCACACGTACCAAGTACATGTGCCCCTCACCCCCCCCCCCCCCCCCCGCCCCCCCTCCCCCCCCTCCCT